GAACTGAAGTTAATTTCCATATGAAACACTAATAAAATTAAAAAGAAGGATAAAAGGATGAAGCTCTCGGCGTTGATCAATCCCTGAGGGATGCGCAATGCATTCGACTTCATCAAGCATCGTTGGAGGTGATTGAATGAATATCTGGTCTTTACAATGACTCGCGGTGGCTTACCGTTGCATCGAGCCAGTGCTGCTGTCCTCCCAGAGAAGTATGGTACCAATATGCCGACCCCGGATGGATAGATGGTTTGGAGGGCCATGGGCGCGGGGATAGGTTCCACGTGTGTGTTGCAGAACGCCTCCGATCACTGCCCCACATGAGCCACGCTAGTGAAATTAAGATTAATTATCGTCAACACAGTGCTCGAATGATGCTGGCGATTGATCACATCGCGAAGGGAATTTCTTTTAAATCGAAATGGGACGGAATGAAGGCGCTACGATTTAGAGTGGCTTTAGATATTATTAAGTATTTATTTACACGACACGTCTTCCACACATACTTTGCGGATCCCAGCACTTGTCGCACTCGATTCGTTTCCTCGCACCCATCATCCGCAGGCTTCAAACTTTTCGCGTGTAGGTTCCTTTGCTGTTTGTGGAATTTCATTTTGTCATGAGTGTCTGTGAATGCTGGTCACGTTGATTATTCCTGGACTCCTTAGATAACCGACCTACAGCATTTCCATCTGGATTGCAGAGAGTGAACGCTTGCAGGTTGGCCTGGTAGCCTTTTCCCTATCCCGGATGGATGAGACTCTTGGTGAGCTTGGTGAGCGATCGAACCGGCACTGCGATCGTTATGATTGGCATCATTACCACTGCTCTACCTGTCCTCTCGAGATACAACATTTTTTCTAATGAATGAATTACTGTTGTAGAAAAGCCTCGAGTAATTTTTAAAATATCACTTCTAAATCTTTAATCTCTTCTTTTTACCATATTACCACCTCTTATTTGCACTTTTGTAGCGTTCGGACTTATTCCAAAGGATTATTTAAAATTTTCAATTAATTTCCATATCATCTTTTAACACCAAAGGAATTTCTTCCGAGAAGGAAACAAAAATTATCCTTATTTAGCCTCTTATTTTGGTAAAGAAAGCTACAGCTACCGAGTTATGAGAAATCATTATTTGGTGTCACCGCACGTTTTTGGCCTACAAATCAATATGTTGACGTCCCTCTGAGGAGCGTGTACTGATGTAGAGTTCGTCCTAAAATATAAGGGCTAATTTATAAAATATTGGGGTTATTGGACAAAGTCTTTTTCGATCAAAAAATTGTTGTTTCAACGGAAAACTTCAAAGATTTTATGTTTACCTGCCATAATGTATGACATAAAAGAATGAAACTCACTGAATTCTGTATGGCAAGGTTAGGGTAAGTTAACCCGAACAGAATTGGCCCTCTTTCGATTGGTTTTTCCTCAACATTAATTCAGACGGTGTGTTGACATGACGGGATTTATTATGATGCTCGCGAATCGCTTCGATAACATTTGAACACCTGTCATTTTTCGATTTACAAACAAGCAACGGTTAACTAGCGGTCCGATTGCAAATTTTTTTGACGTAAAAACTGCTACTGTTGGCTTGGGAAGTCGTGTAGTGCCACTCAGACGAAACGAAGTTCCAGTTCCACTCCAGCTCTCGCCCAATCACAATCACTTCTTCACTACGTGCCTAATCCATGCGAGTGAATTTTCTTCCAATTAAAAGAAAAACCCTTAAGAGGAACTTATCATTCAACTAGAACTCGTAATGCATTTCTCACATCACGTTAGTTATCCTGATGACTAGCAATGTTATGGGAATCTCTCGACGTTTCTCAATGAAACTGGCTGGAGCGCCAAACTCTGTCATGCTCCCGAATTTTTCCACCATTAAATATACCATTTGAAAAAAGAACTCTCCCAACCTTGGCTAAACAAAACGATTCGGCGATTAGCAAATGTCTCATGCAAAATATGCGTATCGATCATTATTGGAAACTGAGCTGACCATCCGGTTGATCGGTCTCCGTCGGTCCGGTCCGGTCCGGTCCGGTCTTCCAAGTGACTCCCGTCGTAACCTCTTCAACGATCGTGACTTATGAGTGTTTGATCACGCCCTCACAACGATCAGTGCCGAACTTTTGGAGGACAACAGCAACAACGACAAAACGATGGATGTGATTTTTTTCTATTTAGGAAGTCATCTGCTAAGCATGTCGGTCAAGAAATTTTCCTCATCACTACTATTTTTGTTAAGAATAAAATAATAATGTAGCAAAAATTGCTAATTTGCACACGATCTTTTATATTGACAGGATACAAAAACCTATTTATGGGTGGCAAAAGTTCGTTATGAGCAAAATATGCCTGCTTAGGATTAAAAAAACCAACTTACGTCAGCCAAGCATGAAATGCAAGAGATGCAGTGAACCACCATTGTAACCACTGCACGGCGTAACACATGTGTTAATTGGAAGACCTTAGGATGGTGTGTGTACTTTTTTGTTTCTTTTGTCGGAATTACAAATTAAAAGTGTTTCCTGGTCGTGTTAGGACCCGCCGGCATTCCAGGCTGCTACGGTAAGTTCTCATTTGTAATGTCATCAACAGCTGGTTTTCATTGACGCCGCGGTTTGTGTTTAGCATTAAGTAACAGAATATGAAGGTCAAGAGGGTAGTGAAATGTCTTGTGACAATATAGGATTGGTAGTGTACCTCAAACCAGTTCACTAGTTTACATAAAGTGGCACACTTTGATCTTCACCAAGAAAAGTTACAGTTATCTACCATAGAGGGCGCGTGTAGTGCAGTGATTAAAGGCGCTTTCCAACAAACACGCCGTCTTTTGCTCAATCCCTCTTCTCAGGAAAACCACTCCATCTATTTTCGGGACTCGGAAATTTTTTGCTTGGCCTATTTTAAAGGTTAAAAACACTGAACTGCTAGGCATGTGGCAGTGACGTGAGAAAGGTTTATTAACGCTTTCTAGACTCTAGTGGAAGAAGATGTTTCCCACTGAGTAAACTACCAGTTTAACATATGTTTTTCAAGGTACACAATGTTGTTTGTGTGTTTTAAGACCGGTTGTTTATTTGCAAGTCTTAGTGTCAATTCACTGAAAGTCCACTGCAAAATTATCTGACCAGTTTTCGATGAACTGTAAGGTGTCATCGAAGCCACAAGCTGTTCAGGTCATCTATGAAGAAGAGCCTGTCAATAAGAGGACGTTATCGGCCAATCTTACAACATTCTGATGTTGGTTAGTGTGAAAGAACACTTAAGAGCATCAGACACACAATCAACAAGTGGATCTGGTTTCATTGTGAGCCTAAGACACCCCTTCGCAGCAAATCGTGGCTATAAATTGGCTACGATTCACTACGTGTGCGTGATTTCACATCACGATAAACGTTCCACTGTGTTTCGTCGTAAATAAAGTCTCTCCATACGACATATGACAGTAAGAATCAGGACACATGTTTCATATTTTGTCTTAGGAAAGTCGTCCGTGGAGTCTTTCTTTTTTGAGGCGTCATGGAACTTATTTTAACAAAAATTTCACTGAGAAGCACTAAAAATTTTATTAAAAAAGACTCTGATGTATTAAGTTTTGTGATTTTTGTGATTATGTGATTTTTTTCTCTGCTATTTCTCTTGGCTGATTTAATCAAAAATAGAAAAGACAGACAGAGTAAAGTACAAATGAAATATCGGCACCTATTCCCGGAGATAATTACGGACATACTAGCGAAAAAAGTTACCGGGGATAATGGAAAAGCAAAAGTGATAGAAGGGAGCAGAATTTCGGACAATCTGCAGAGTCTTCATGATAATTCCAATTTGTGCACTGTAGTCTGCTAACGGTCGAAAGCACTAAAGCATTCCGAAAAGACCTGCATATGATAGCAGCATATGCTTACGCTTATCAACTATGTCAGTATAACCACAATAATGCTGAGATATTCGCAAAACTTGGACCTTAGGCCAGATTCGAACCCGCAGCTATTTTTATCGAAAGTTTTGATTACCCCTTGAAAAGGATAATCGTGAGTCCGAATGTGCCATGTTCTGTAGACAGCACTATTGTGGTTCTATTTCACATAATATCCTGCGTGGAAAGAAATAATAAGCATTAAATAAAAAGTTAAGCATTGTGATTTCGACTACGGCCTCAGCTTAACTTGGTTCAAAGCTGATATGTGCTCCCCGGATCAAAGCCGTTGACGGGTGATTGCAGATGGCACCGTTAGGGTGGAAAACTGGCGGAGAGGAAGGTAAACCAAAGGCCTCAGTGGTGCTGTCACTAACACATGACCCCTCAGAGAGGGTGATCGTGTGATCTAGTCGGGACTGTGGCTCGACTTTCGCAAATATCTCAACATCATTCTGGCCGTAATTCACATAATACTTGCCTTAAAAAACTAGTAGGCAGTAAATAGGAACTTAGATATTATGTCAGCGTATATTATTGAAAGATAAATCACTGAGCGCTCTATGTTGATTTATCCCTTAGGCATGCGTCATGTATTGGATTCCATTCATAGCATCGTAGCGCTGATTAGATGCACAAATTAAAAACTGCCACACCATCTGTGCAGCTTTTTTAAAAGCTTTGCATGAAAATATGAGAGGTTTAACAGTGATTCGTTTGACTTATGCTAGAACTTCGAGATCTGATTCAATGCATATTTCGGCTATACGATAAATTGGGAAGGCCTGCTGGCCTATAAGAGCAACTGTTCCATTCCCCAGACAAGTCTGGTACTAATTTTCCGATCCTAGAGGAATGGACGACTTGGCCAGCCCAGAGCCAACCGGTGATAAGCCAAGCATTCCGTGTTTATTACAGGTCTCTAATCCATGCGTTACACGTGCTACATTAATATTAATTTTATTACAGTTATTACAACTACTACTCATGCTGAGTATCATGAGAGAAAGAACTATATCTACTAAGTGCTCAGTCCCATCAATCACTCAGCGACGCATTAAACTCTTATTAAATGACCAGGTTATGGACGGACTCACGTCAATTAATGGATGAATAGTTGTCGTTACTAAACTGAAAGCGAAAAGTCCAAGTAACACCAAATGGGTTATGAAATGCAAAATTTTCTGGAATTTTACTGAGAATTCAGAGGGGGGAAGACGGCTTTCCGATTTTCATCAATATCGACACCTTAACCTACAAAACAGCTTTTCTGCTGACCAGATTGGTTTCGTCTAATCTTCACACCTACATTAAGCGAAGGGCCTTACAACCACCTACCTCTATATAAAATGTTTCATAAATAACCCTACTGGAAGCCGCCGTAAAGGTTACTACAGCAAAAAAATGTGACCGAAGGAAAAAACAGATATTATTTTCAGCACAACAAACACTTGTCAACCGCAATGCCGAAACGCCGTGTTGAACTTGTATCAGAACAAATTAGGTCGAATTTTACTGAGGTCAGTGAGAATTCCAAAGAACACCGTTCCATTTTATAACAAATTTGATTCCATTCTTCAGTTCCTCCCATCACTTCGTTTATACTCCGGCTAAACAAAGAGAGTACTCCAGACCAATCAATATCCCAACTGTTCCGAATAAAATCCTAGGCGATCAATAATCAAATTATTGATTTCAGAGCATTTTTAACTACTTACATTATGGAAGCAAGAGAACCTAAGAGCTTTCTAGTTTAAAGGACCTGAAAAACTACTTCAAATGTTTGCGCTGGCGCTTAATAGAATTTCAGCAAAACTAGAAAGAAAGATTTCAGATCAGATACGTCATGTCTGCCTGGTAGAGAAGAGCTGAGAACTTGTCACTTTCTTCCCACAGCATCGACAGTACACTGCAGTTTGGTCAAGTTGGCTTGTGAAGCTGATTTACAGGTTATTGATCGATTATTGGTTTATTTCGTACAATAACACTTCACACAATCATCATTGGACCAAGCAATTTACAATTTTTTCAATTACCACCAGTAATAGTTGTCTGGCCAAATTCACCATCATGAAATCTTCTTTGCATTGCTTAGCTACAGTATTTCTTTTACATGGCCCGTCTTTCACATCTACTCTACGGATCCCAGCACTTCTAACAGTTCCTTCGTTTTTTCGTATCCACCTTCCACGAAGGTTTTCCAACTCTTGCGTATGACTTCAGCTACTGATTAACTATTTCCCGTTCATCTCGAATACCGTAGGATGCTAGTCGAGTCGATTCGCTTTGGAGTTCCTAGATAGTCGGGTTAGAGCGTTCCCAGTTGGTTTGCAGAGCGCGGCTTTTTTTTCGGGAAAGGCCGGTACCAATTTTGCTACCCTGGAGAGGTGAGAGGCTTGCTGACCCCTGAGCAGGCTGGCACCGTGTTCGTGATGATCGGCATCAATATCATTGTGCTCTCCGTCTTCTGGATACCGCATTACAGATATATCTTTTTGCATAGTATAGAGATTTCTTGCTGTAATAGCTTGTAGTTTTCAGCTGGCAGAGAATGAAAAACTAAACGAATAGAAATCACATTTACCATAAGCTAATGACTGCACAAACAGAATGAGGTGATCCTCGAATCCAGTGTAAAAGCACGTTTCCGTTATTCAAACTCAGAAAATTTCCTACGCTGAAAATCCAAAGATTCATCTAAAGTAATAAATGTTTACTTTAAAGAACCACAAAAGACAAACAAAGAACATACAAAGGCAATGTCTGCAAAATGAACAGTACTTTTTCTCTGAAATTGTCAAGCAATTGTAGATGAAAAAGGAGAGTAGACGAAGTTGCTTAGATGTTGAGTTCAAAACTCATTTGGTTTTGTGTAAATTATATATGTATTTACGTAAGCAACGAAAGCAAAACACTACTGAATCGGAGAGGATATGTGCGTTGCCCTCTTCCTTTCTTTTTCCTTGTGCCTTTATCACATTGGTTGGACCCCTAGCAAGCTAAGCTTTCCATCTGTCTGGCAGTCGGTAAATTGGTACCATATGGTACGAAAACTCTCTAGATAAATGGCTAAAGAACTGTCTTGATTCATCATTAGCTCTCCGTAAGCCGCAGCAGTCAATAAAATCAAATACGCATTCGATCACCTCCACGATGGTACGAATAGAGTTCAATGAACGGCAAGCCGAATGCTTTACAATATCGGTCGGTGCGGCGATCGATTCAAATGACTACTGTTTTTTCGAGAAATGTTGAACGGTAACGTTCGGATCGAGCCGCCTATTGTGTTTCACATTCGGTGGTGCTGATTGCTGCTCAAACAAATCGGCCTCGCTCGCCTCATCGTGTCGTACCCTCAGCCGACTGATGAAAAGAGGGAGCTACAACCAACGTCGGATAGATTTAAGGACAAGTTGCCTTTCTGCTCAGTCGATTCATTATTATTTTTAACCATTCACTTACATCGAATTCTACGTCCATGTTTTAAGTTACTTTTGCAACATTACATAGATAAACCAAGAAGTAAGGAATAAAGGATGAAGCCGTCGGTGTTTGTCAATACCTGAGGGATGCGCCATGCATTCACCTTCATAAAGCATCGTTAGAGGTGAACGAGTGCACATCTGGCCTATACAGCGAGTCACAGTAGCCTACCGACGTATCGAGCCAGTGCTTCGATGCTCCCAGACAAGTCTGGCACCAATTTGGCGGCCCCGTCAGGATGGAATGTTTCTTGAGCCTGGGGCACGGCATCAACCCCGTGTGTTTTGCAGGACAATTCTAACCACCGTGCTACATACGCTCTAAACTAAAGAATATTTCACATATTAACAACGAGAAAGAGCGTTAAAGTTTTTGAAACAACAGAAAAAATGTAGAATTAACTAAGACACGGTATTACACGATTCATTAAGCAACTTCAGCGCAACCATTTTATTCAATAATAGAAAACCAATCGACATACTTATGCCAAATTCACAGAAAACAGAAAAACTTCTTAAAAATCAGAACTATTTGGCTTATAAATGTTTTTTTTATGTTGTAACCGAAAGCATGCTACTGCTATTAGAATGCAATTGCAAGAGAATTACAAATAAGTATGAGCAAAGGCGCTCGTAGTACCTATTGCTCCGTTTATTACAGAGTAACTGGGATAAAACTTACTTGCTTGGATACTTTGATGACCCCCTCTCACTGGCTGTGCAGCATAGTCTCCACTTTTTCGGAGTTTTGCTGGTTTAGCCACTGTAATTCCATGGAGTCTCGAGGTTAGCCAGGCCAACGTCTGCCCCACGTTTTCACCACCATAGGTAGTCGCCTCCTTTATGGACCAGAGGAACATTTGCCGCCATGCGATTAATTTGAAACCAAGACGGTAATGAATCCTGGTATTGGTTTACATTAGCTGGGCTTCTTAATGGAAAAATTGGACTCTTTCTTAGGTTGTGAGATCATTCTAGAGGAATGAATCCTCTCGCTGTACATCGCAGCCCGACACCCAAGAACATCTCTCAGCCATGATGAGGTGATAAACTTGAGAGGTAATTAGGATAATATGCACCGATGGGTTTCGCATGTGCTTCTCGCGCAGAAAAATTGTTGAAAAAGAACATGAAGAGCATAGATTGGTGTCCTTATATTTTGTTCTGTTCAGGCAAATAACCGTGAGAAGATCCTTGGGCTCTGCTCCTGCATAGGTTTGGTTTTAGCTAGCTAGCCGACCTCTGAAACGAAACTTCGAACTGTTTGTTAAGTTGAGTGCTCCTCGTGGAGTATAAGCCCTTAGCTCCCAAGATCGACTTTCTCTTAACCTCGGCATTGGAATATGAATGTGTCGTTTTCTTGCTCAGCAATCGCGAGGTT